GAATCAAAATGATGCTTTTGAAATTAAAAGCGAGGGAATAAAAACAGAAACTGTGATCATTAGCCCATGAACAACATCAAACCCTGTTTCCTCATGTTCATTAAAACAAACTAAACGGCCATGCACCGAACTTTCTCTTTGAGATCAGAGCTGCAGGTGGTGGACAGATTTCAAAGTCTTCAGAGACGGACAACAGTATTGCTCTGAAGGGGTTACCATAGCAAAAAGCGCAGAAAATGCCACCTCGCATCAGGAGCCTCAATTTAATCAGAGTCTTTGATATTTGAGGCATCATTATGGTGTCCTGGCAAGCCACTCGGTGGAATGCCGAATTGATTTTGGAGCCAGATGGAGCATGGCTTTGTTGAGCCATGCTGAATAACTTCAGATAGGCTGGCAGATAGTGTAGATTGGCACACTTGCAGTACGTGTTGCCATCTCCAGTCCTTCCCTCTCAGCACGCTTTTACAGCTCTTCTTAACCCACTCTCCACTCTTTTGTTTAACAAAGATTCATGTTTGCCCAGACATGGAGAACAACACTGAGCCATTTCCATAAAAGGAGAAAATATGCTCTTTTGGTGGGAAGCAAGATGGATAGATTCTGCAAAACTTAACCGGGGCCGCAGAGTGGGAGAGAACAATGTGAAGACACTCACAGGATCCGGCTCACAGTTGTTCGCCGTGTCTCTAACAAGCGCTATAACAAACGTCAGGTGTTCCAGCCTTTGTTTTAAAGGTCAGTGTTGTGCATCAGTGCAATTAAGGACAAAAGAAGTGTAATTGTAGCCTTTATATAATGTTTCTGCTTTAAAGTATTCCATTGGTGAGTTGCAATAGATGTTAAATTACTATTTTTGTTTGCAACAACAGATATTTTTAAAACCAGACACAACTGTCTGTGCATGGTGTTTTGTGCAAGCAAATTTAGTCACAACCTGGTGAGTGCAGGGTTTTTTCTTTCCTATATCAATGTATTTCCTATTAAAAAAAAGTTAGAAAAGTTTTTTTCAATAGCCAATATTAGTAATTTTGAGGAGAGGGTTCCAACTCTAAAGATAATTTAAAATGAATTTGCAAAATGAGTCATCAGCATCATTGTTTGTTTGTTTTTCCAAAAGGTCAATGACAATTTAGACTATGTCTAAAAATCTATAACACGTCAAGAAACATAGTCTTGGTAGTCATGATGGGTCTATATGATTTTTAAAAAGTAAAAGGTTTTGAGAAGAGTATCAAGTAAACAAAACTATCAAGTAAAAATAAATTACACATTTTAATTAAGTAATAAAAATTATAAACAAAATATAAATATTTTTTAAATATTATGAATTATACATAAATGTCTTTTATAAATATCATTACATTTTTGAATCACACCATGACATTTTACCTTCCCTTACCAAACGTGCCATGCCATTAAAATGTCAAATTATTAATAAATAACTCATATCATTAAATGATTTATATTTATATTATTAAATAAATTATATTATGATAAGTAAGCTGCACTAAAAAAAAATTTTCTTCATTAAAATCAATGAACAAAATTCCATTATTAAACAAGTATACATATGGATATCAAAGTCAAATCTGGGTTCAGAAAAATTGGTGTAGGATTTACTTTTAAACAATTCATTGATTAATTTTATGGGGTTCATATCTTGCCACTATTCACTAGAGTAAACCTACAAGTCTGAGCTGTCTGGTTGTTTTTAGAGGCTTACGTCATTTGTTTTGACATTAACTTCATGTCTGTAACCACAGAAAAGAATGTATTGGTCTTATTATTGTGTGTGAGTGGAGAGAAGTGGTTGTAGCTACCATAAATCAAGACAGTGAGTACATGATTAACTTCAGATTGTTCTTTTTAGCAGCATGAAAAATGGTTGTGAATAAACTGCATAAAGAAAGCAAGCCTTCTATAATTATCGGAGCTGTCCATTCAGTTTCCTGACTGAGTTCTGCACTCTTGCAAAAACTCTCGTTATAATTAAAGACTTTGACTACACTGCACAATGAATTTTAGATTTATATCGTACCTATGCTTAGCTGAATATAATGAAAGCATTTGCGAGACTGAAGAACTCAATCAGTAAGCCAGCACTGAACAAAACTAAAGTATTTTGGGTGGATTTCCTCTGCGCCAGTGACTATTTTAAACAGCTTTGATTGGTCATATCTCAAACATTGTGAAAAACATGTTGTAAATAGAAACAGTTTATGCAATAGAAGCTGTGCAATGAAGTGTGAAAAGACTACTATGCAAGTAACATCCAATTTTAAGTTTTAACCGCAGATGGCGATAGAGAGGCTAAAGTTTCTTAGTTCAGAAGACTTCTCTATGATGTCGTTTCCTGTTTTAGGATTTCATTTCTGCTTGTGGTTTCTCCACATTACTTTAATTTGGAAACAAAGGTTTACAAATATTAACAAGCAATGAATCATTTTAATCAAATTATTCAGCTTAATATTAAGTTTTATTTGTCCAATCAATAATATTAAAGGGGTCATATGATGCTATTTTAAAGATCATTATTTGGTGTATTTGGTATAACAGAATATGTTGACATGCTTTAATGTTCAAAAAACACATTATTTTTCAAATACTGTACATTATTGTTGGTCCTCTATGCCCCGCCTCTCTCAAACACGTCCTTTTCAACAAAGCCCCCTCCTTTGACAAGCGCAGTCTGCTCTGATTGGCCAGCTGACCCAGTGCATTGTGATTGGCCGAACACCACAAGCTCGCGTCGGAAATGTAACGCCCCTTACCATAATCACCAGCTTCAGCTTTCAAAGTAAATATCAAGACTAATAATGTCAAGTTAATAATGTCGTTAGTTTTATCATCAGTTCAAGCCCAAAAGGGCAACAGAGTCGCGTGACAGACACAGTGATGATGCTATGTGGGGGCGTGTTAGAACGAGCCATTTTAGGTAGGCATGGCTGACTCTTAACTTTTATAAAGAATATCTCTTTGGATTTGAGACTTTAGTCTTTGCAATTTCAGAGATCTTCTTTATGCGCCAAGAGCTTGTAACACTCCAAAGAGAAAGGAAAACTTGAAATCGCATCATATGACCCCTTTAACAGATTGTTGTGACAATTTTTATTTTTTTAGGAATTGAACTTTTTTTTTCCCATGAACTTTGATGCATCACAGAAGAGCTGTATTCACATCATTGTATATAAGAACTGTATTAATTACTTGATCAGAAAGTCATGGCAGCTTCTGGTTTTACACGACTTTAACTCATCAAAATATGTTGAGCAATTTCAACTTTTTTATAAGTTATATGAGATTCAACTGGATTTTTTTTAAGTCAGTTTAATATAATTTGTTGAAAATGGCTTATACATCCAAGTTTATACTTAAAATTTTAAGGCAGCAAATTAATTTAAGTTAAGTTAAAATAGGTTTCTTTTTTACTGTTATATGAGCATCGTGTCATTGAGCTAGAAGAGAAAGATAGATAAATAGGATCATTTTGTCAACTTTTAGGAGTAAACTAGCATATAAATGCTTTAAAACTAATAGAAGTAGATTAAAAGCTACAGTACAGTACAATCTTCAATTGTGAATTCATGGGGTTTTCAAATCAAATAACAGCTGGGGATTACAAGGTGTCATTTTCAATATACATCCACCCTTCCATTAATAAAGTAACACATGTCAAATAAATTAATAAATCTGTATGGGCATGAATCATCAAATGGTTTCATGCATAGTTATTGTTCAAGTGAAATTAGTCTTGCATGTACTATCAGCATTCATGAATGCCAGCACAAAAGAATGTCATGTCTTCACAAAGATGATAGGCATCTGGCTCTCGACCAAAATGCACTCAAATATTCACCAGACATAAACACAAGGAGAACTGAAATGCTCACAAACTGTGAAAGAAAAGACACTGAGAGTGTGGAGAGATGAGTTGTAGAAGAAAATGATGGAATTGCTGGGAGGCTAGGATGAGGGAGGCTTTTGGATAACACCGCTCTAGAGATCCAGCTGAGGACAAGATGAAAAGATTCTCAACGGCGCTAAGAATCAACTCCCCTTTCCAGTTGTGTGCATTTCATTAGAGATCATCATGCAGTTTCACTGAATTCATTGTGTATAGTTTTAAAAGGCTTAACATTTTATGTACACCTTTGTTGCTGATATATGAGACTGAAAAAGGACTATTATTAAAGGACTATTAGCCAATATAATAAATGTTGATCATATACTGCCTTATATATACTTATATTATACAGTGGGATTTGTATTGTTTTGACAGCAGAACTACTGCTGATATGACCAAAACCTGCTGTTCTCAGAATGATTTGAGATGCAACGCTTCATTGGAAGCAATAACATCTGACCGTCTGTACAGAGAGTTCACGTGGTCAGTGTCACAAATGTGCTTTTTGATCAAAAAACATTTTTGATTTAATTTGAAATAGTTATTTCCTTTGAATTGTTTTCTAAATCTTAAAACCACCTGTTGATTGACAGGTTTTGGTTCACAGATTTTTAATGTGGTCCCAGACCTTACCACCCATTGTATATTCTTATACATTAATTATGTATTTCCAATTTGCAAATTATGCTATTCTAAACTACATTACATACTATATACCAAGTCTTCTGCTATATATATATATATATATATATATATATATATATATATAAAGTTGATAAACAGAATCAACAGGTGGAAGCACCAGACTGGCTATCTGCCAATATTCCCAACACATCACATCAGTGCAGTAATGAAGGCTTGGACGGAGACAGGTTGGATGGATGGTTATGATTATACTCGCACCACAGAACTCAGGGTGTCCTACCAAGGTGACCATGATCACTTGCATAAAATCAGCACAGCACAAAGGCAATGACTCATGTGTCATTACAAGTTTGCATATGCGTAATTGCATCAGTAATCATGCAAATCATCAGCATCAATTTGACGGACAGCTTCATAACAGCACTGATCAGATTTAAGTGGCACCTACTGTGGGCTCTTTGGATAGAAAGGCAGGGTGACATGATTGAGGTCTTGAATATCAAAGGCTGTAGGTTCGGCTGAGATCGCCTGTCTCTTAGTCCTCTGCTGCTCTTGGAGGACACTCTTCTGTTTGTGGACTTGTTGAGTTGCAGGTCTTATAACGGATCGGTATTTGTCTAACTCATTCTGAAGCTTCTGGATGAGTTCGTCTTTCTGGTCCAGCTCCAACTCCAGTTCATCAATCAGCGCGTCTCTCTGTCTCAGTTCTTCAATCTTCTCCTGTAACGCGTACTGGAGATCGCGTAAAGTGCCCATTTCTCCCCACAGTTAACGATCCGGAGTCGTTACCAACTTGGTGAAGGGTCAGTTTTCGGTCATGAAATTAAAGCAAACCGCTTTCGGTCGTATTTCCCGTGGTAATGTCGCCCAAAAAACGGCCGCGCCGTGCTTTCGGATTATTTATACCGGAGGAATGAGCGCGGAAACACCCACGGCGTCTGCAAAGATCACATTCGGGAGACGAAGAAGTTTCACAGGGCATTCATTTCTTGTCCAAATGCGTCAGTCGCAGCTGTCGAGCGCGAGTGGAACGCCATGAGCGCGCAGTGAACGCGTCGTGTGGCTCCCCGATGAGCCAATGAGGTAAGACACAAGTGCGCACCTGTAGCAGCCGCTGAGAGCCTTCAAGTGCGCTACCTTACACAATACACAAGCACGTGAGCGCATTCAAACAGTAGTTTCAATAACAGTTCCTTTACGCTAACTTTACGCACTTCCTAAATTATCCCTATTAAAATACAAATCATTTTTACTCATTTATACTTCGAAATATGCACATCAGGCATCAAATTAAATATGCACACAGCAAATACCTCACAGATACAAATACTATGCCACGTTTTAATTGAACTTGCTTTTTGCACTTTTTAAGACGTAAAAATGTTTCTCATCATTTCACTTGAATTACAATAAATTCTTTCAAATCTGCTCTAATTTGATGAGTTTAAGCTTGTCAGATGTTATTAAATTCATCCAACGCTGAGAAAGAACCGTTGCCTTTTAAGAAGCAAAATGTACATTTAGACTGTATATGACCAAAATGTCATTTTCAGATGTTGCAACTGGTGAATGTGATTTAAAATCATATTTAAAAAATAATAATAATAATAATTCCCATTGGCTATCAGCCAATTCATAAATTCATTAATTTTGGTAGTTAGGAAATCATAATTACTAAACACTTAAATATATTGTAATTTATATTTTTATTATTTTTATTATTATTATGATATTTGTA